GTAAAACTGATGATATGCCCTGTAAACATTCACTCATTCCACAATAAAAACCTTAAATAAAAATTTTAAAAAACTTATTGGGTATTGAATCAAAATTGCATTGCATCTATACATTACTTTTGGTAGTGTTGACATTTACACAATACTAAGTTTTCCAATCCATGAACATGGAATGGTTTTCCATTATGCAGATCTCTTTTAACTATATTGCAGTAGTATTTCATAGTTTTCCTTGTATAAATCTTTTACATTTCTTATTAGGTTTATTCCAAGGTATTTTATTCTTTGGGAGGCTATTCTAAATGGTATTGTTTTATTGATTTCTTTTACAGAAGGAAATTTATTTCCTCCTTGTAAATGCAGAGGAACACAACTGAATTTTATATGCTGATTTTGTACTTTGTTACTTTACTAAATTCTTATGTTAATTCCAGTAATTTTCTTGTAGAGTCTCTGAAATTATCTTTGTATATGATCATGTCATCTATGAATAATGAGAGTTTTCCCTTTTTTTTCAATTTGAATTCCCTTTACATCCTTCCTGTCTTATTGCTGTTGCTAGGACAATATCAAATAAGAGTGGTAATAAAGGACATCCTTGTTTCACTCCATTCTTAAACAGAAGAGAACAAAAATTCTTTACTTCATTTTTCTGGAGGTGAGAGCGATGATGGCATTACTACATCAAAATACTGTGTACTGGTGTGGCACTTCAGGTTAATGCACTGGACTGCAAGGTGGTTTGAACTGTAAGATCAGCGGTTCAAGCTCACTAGCCGCTCCTAAGAAACACTATCCAGGGTTGCTATGAGTCGGAACCAACTCAAGGGCACTGAGTTAACAACAACAACAAATGCAAATATAACTAAGCTCTCAATATTAGCTAAATATATGTTCTGTTTCAATAAATATCTAGAAGTACAAATAAGATGCTCAAAGCATTCTGTTGTTCAAACAAAAATGAAATTTCTTTGTTTTTTGATGTAGAGATTAAGTTACCAGGGGCAGACACTTTCTTCTCCGGTTGCTCTAAAACAACCTCAACTTTAAGACAAGTTTCAAACTTTCCTAATGTGTTTAAATTTTAAGATAAAAATCTATTTATATGTAAAGAGGGGCACAGATGGCTTATAATGTAATATTTCTCAACCTAAACAACTTAATTTGGAAATACAAGGGATAATTTAGTAATGAGATAAACAAATTATACTTGGAGCTTTCCAGGAGAACCTTAAATATTATAATGACTGATTTTCTTCAGAAATTACATCTACAAAACTAGGAATGCTTGTGAATAAATGATAATCCTCTACCTTTTTGCCTTTCTACACTACCATTCTAGAAACAATGTGGTATTGAGAAACAATGTAGACTCAGGAGTCAGAAGCTTTGAGATTAAATCTCAATTCTACATTTCAATGGTATCTCCTACTAGTCAGTTGAACTATTTGATACTTAGTTTTGCCATTATAAAATATTAATTTCTACCTCAAATGATAGCTGTGCAGATCCAATTAAATAAAGGATATGAAAACACTTTGTAGAAGAACTATAAAAATGCTATTTGTGGAGAACAAACAAGATAGTGGATCGGGTGGA